TAATACGGTACTTATTACCAAGGAGCTGTAATAAGCTTCATCTTAATATTCCCAGCTTCTACGTGCATATGTACATATAGATATGCATACTTCACGGCCCAAAGCTCCCGAATATTCTCCACTGGATTCCTGGAATACTTCGATGCGGCGCTAATACAATAGTTTGTATAGGTAATTATCACTTTGTATGTTGGTTTAATATAGCGCGGCTCGTTATGACCTACCCTCTCCGCGCAGTTGAAATTACAATCGTACGAGTATGTATTTATCGACCGGATTGTCTTGGACCCCCATGCTTGACACCATCGACGGGAGACCCATGTTACGAATCCGCAGAGCCTTATTTGACTAGTCGTTGTGCCCCTGTGCAGACGTGCATAGTATTGAGATTTAGTCATATCTCACAATAAGTTCATATGTATGTATATCCATATGTAGATAGTACCGAGCTGATAATCTCATAACTCAATTCGCAAGGCAGCTTCAATAAAGGAGATGGAACACCAATGTAAGGGGGGTAAACCCTCTCTGATGCTAGCAATTCGTGACATTCGTGACAAAAGTGACAATGGTAGTAATAAAGCAACCTACATAGGGTAAGTGTTGAATTAGACACATTACAATAAACGCCAGATTTGGCATTCCCGGCCGAACCACGGAAATGGAATCCCTGTTCGGCTCTCGTAGTTTTTGGCCGCCAAATGACGATTAGGCACATCATTGGGGAGGGTTAACTATTTGATCATGCTGTCTAGGGCTAGGGCGGCTGGGCGGCTCTAAAAGGAGTAATTGAATTTCCCGACTCTATGGGACCGTTGCTTATTAATAAATCGACATGGTCGTAATATCAATAGTTTATGCAACGAAGCCTCAGTTGACAAAGCGTATCCGTATCGTATCGTACGCACAGTATGCATCTCTTTCGTAGATGTGTAAATTGAGTCGTGTAGCGCCTACATTATGACCTTGCCCGGCTAGTTTGTCTGGAGATTCAAAAGTAACAATACGGACTAAGTAAGTAGTAAAGATCATCCATGTAACGATACATATTGCGGAGTAGCTAAAGAGTCTCCGCGAAGCTGCTAAATTAGCTGGCTGGCTTAATTCATGTAATAACCTCTATTCCCGATAACGTCTAGATCTACGTGCAGCTTCAACTAACCTATCTCAAGCTTCCAGAAGTCTAGTTAGGGCTAACTACTCTATGGTAGCGTTCAGCTGGCTCGATGGCTATTTGTAATGATATAATTTCAGGCGATTTCATTGGCTCTACGAATTAATGCTCCGCTTCTAGTTTGGATAGTTATGATGTATATGCAAGTAGGTATATGAGGTGATAGGTGACAGAAGATCGATGGATGTAACTTCGGGAGATAGGCCGCTTTGCGAAGGACCAAGCAACATCAGAACTATTCTAACCATATTCGCTAGAACATACCTACTAACATAGTACCCCGAGGAAAGATGTGGAGAATATCAGCTATTCCGCGGAATCAGAATCCCGCTATCATCTTCTCAATGGGGAGTTTAACTTTAACAGCGTGTTCTTGATAAGTTCACATTCGTAGTCTGGCTATCACTGGTCTAAATTCAAGTCGGAAGTCGGTCCTAAACAACCTACCCAGAATGGATCGTTATGTGCGATCTGGAGGAGAGTTTCGTCGCAGATCGTCACTGTTTCTACAGTAAGCTCATGCAAAAGACTACTGACGCGGCTATGAAACTAGCTTTTCATGTGCCTCGAAAACGATCAGTCAAAATTTTTAGCCATGCGTACAAGCTCCTTTTTACCTACGCCGCGCGCCCGCCGATAATAATATTCGCCGGCGGTGAGTATCTTGATGGAATTGGAACTTTGCTCGACAAGTTTACCCACACGTGCCCCTATTTCCTCCAGTCAAGGTGGTGTCTGGTACCTTGCATTAGTTGGTCAGCTTCTATCCCGATATCTCCGAGTCAGGGGCCACGGGCGACAAGTCATGGTTGCATCCGATTGCGGTAGTTCGACTCCGACATGCCCAGGTCTCGGGCTTTCACTGCATCCGGAATGGATCCGCGGTTATAGTTGCCATCTTGCTTTTCATCTAACACATACATAATCACTTACATAGCTTGTGGAGTATACGACCTCGTAGGCTCGTACTTTATCGGATTCAACTAGCTACGACTTACACTAAAGTGACTTACACCAGAGTTAGATTCATTCATCGACTAGGTCCTACGTGATATGAGTTGTTTAACCGTTAGGATAGCAGTGAAATCTTACCGGTGGCTATTCGGGTTTATGACGATCTTTCTGCATCGATTTGGGTTTTGATTATTTCCACCAACCCTACTTGATGAGTACGTCACTTAGAGGATGGCTGGGGTGTCATTCAGTGCTACCCTCACATCATTGCGTGGGCAACATCATCGTCTTTTTCACAACGCAAATTCATGAGAAAATATACTATGAGCTGTATAGACTGCCACTGACTAGGCTATCTAAGACTATTAAAGGCACTCACAATCTGGTAAATGCCGGATCGACCGTCCGCCTTGTTCGATTTAATATAGTTATCATACACTTGGGGGTGAGATTGTCATGAACATGCACACCACGAATCCCACGATGCCCCAACTGCCTTCATTGCTGTTACAATGCAATGCTCCCATGTCAATCAATTCTATATATGAATTCCCTCATCCAATGACGGCGATGTAGATGATTGGCTCCATGTTGATGAAAAGTGAGAGAACATGTTCCCTACGTCCGATTTCATATGTATTTCATGAACATTCTGTAGCATCAGTGACTGAGGGGATTTGACTGAAGGGATTTTTAAGATCCGTGCTAAATTTATTATATTTATTATTTATTAAACCCGGAGACTAGCCCTGCTAAAAATGATTTGGTCTAGTTTGATAACCTCAGCTGTGTCACTACCTTACCTACCTTGTATGTCCCTATGTTTTTGGCTATAAGTTTAAGATAGGTAGTACATTTGTTACCTTAGGTAAGCTAGCTGGCTAGTAAAAATAAAAGCTAAAAAGCACGTGCCTATTCACGTGACATGTATTAATGAGCCGATTTCACTCTTCAACGTCTCAAGATGTTTCGTCGAGAAATACAACACGTAATCTCATTCAAAGCACTCTTTTCTTTAAGCTTCAGTTTCGGGGGCTCGAGGACTACCCTCTGCTCATATCGATTATATTTCTTTCTCTTTCTCTTTCTCTTTTCTCTTTTTTCTCTCTTTTTCCCCCTTCCGTAATATATATATATATAGTTTCGGAAATCGAGAACGCTTGCTGGCCGAGCAGTGCCGTAGAATTTCCATCTCAATTGCTACTAGTAATTTCAACGCGCCATCATGGACACCACCACCATGGACATAGGTAACCATTCTTGGCTGAAAAATCTCAATCTAGACAGCGGCGCCATATTCCTCTTAACCGTTACCATCTGTGCTTTCTTGATACCGGTGGTTATAATTCTGCCCCCAATTGGGCTCCAAAAGAGTGATGCGCTGGTACAGACGCACACAATGGCCGGCGTTGAAGGTTCAAAGAGTAACCTGAAAAACCAGTACTCAGCTGAACATGCGCCGCAGGACGGCCAGCCACCCAAGGTCCACAGTCTGGTCATTTATCCAGTGAAGTCATGCAAGGGTATTGAGCTGAAGAGGAGCAAAGTCTTCCCGACGGGACTCCAGTTTGATCGTCTTTTCATGTTTGCTCAGCTCAAAAGCCCTTTCCCCGTGGCTGTAAACTCAACGGATGAGGAAAAGTCAAAGCACAAGTGGGAATTCGTTACCCAGCGGCAGTTCTCCAGGCTGGCGAATGTCACCGTCGATCTCTGGCTGCCGGATGAGATGAAGCTGCGGAAACAGTCAATGAAGTCGAAGGAAGCCTTCGTAATCCTACGTTTCCCTTGGAAGGAGGATGGTTGGCGCGGTATCTATTCTACGATCACAGCTAAGCTGGCAAGAGGGCGCGCCGCTGAGCCCGAGATAGAGATCCTGTTACCAGTAGACTTTCCTTCAACAGAGGATATCAAGGAGAGGGGCTACACTTTCGATGATGTCAAGATATGGAAAGAAACAATCAACGCTCTTAACATGGAAAAAGATCTACCCGGTGAGCTACAACGGTATTTAGGTGTGAGCAACAAGCTTGCTCTGTTCAGGGTCGATCCTGAACAGCTGCGTGAGGTTTATCGAACCGCACCGAGCAAAGAGGAAGCCGGCTACCAGCCTGTGACCGGATTCCAGGATGCCGTATGACACCCACTTATCTAAACCTACCGATCTCTAATATGAAACTAACACTGAGTATAGTTCCCACTTCATTTGATGAGCCTAAACAGCGCACAAGCGTTCAGCTCAGAGGTACCGAAGGACGACGACCTAAAGGAGCTCGATGTGCTTAGATTCCGGCCTAATATCATCCGTGAGTAGAGACAATTTACTTAAATACGTTCTCCGGCCCTCTAACATGCGCACCTTTAGTTTCCGGTGCCGAAGCCTACGATGAAGAGACTTGGAAACAGATCCGGCTTAAGCCGGGGAGCTCAGGCTTATATAACAATGTCGCGTTCCACGTTTCGTGCAGAACTGTCAGGTTAGTGAACAATTCCTTCATCATCTCTTACTACTCATGTATAATCTAACCATCATACGTCAGATGTAAAATGCCCAACGTAGATCCAGTAACTGGTCTCCGCCACCCAACTGAGCCAGACAAATCACTCAGGGCGAAGCGGGCAGTCGATGAGGGTGCGCCGCTAAATGGTTGTCTGGGCATGCAACTCACTCCTCTGTTTGACCCCAGCCTGGGAGAAGATCGTGAAGCTTGGATCGCAGTCGGCATGACGGTTGAGGTCGAGCAAAGGGGGCACCATGTGTATATCAAACAGTGAGACACGCCTTTACCTCCTTCCTCCTATAGCATTTAGACGACAAATATGCTTGTATATATAGATAAGTAAGAGAGGTATGTAAAGAGGAAGTGGGGAGTCCCAGGCTGTGAGAAAAGACGGTTGCAACATCAGGCAATGAGGAAGACCCGTAATAAACACGACCGCTAGAACTATAGCCAGATAATAGACAGATTAGACACTTCAGCGCACAATTAAAAATTGATGAGAATATGGGATGACAGTTTGGTCACAGAATTTATTATTAAACGCAGAATACGACGACCGCCGCCGACGTAAACGAAAAACGCTCAAGATATAACGGCTTATCCACCGTCGATCGTAAACCATACGGGCGCGGTATATCATCCATTCATCCGTTTTCCATCTCCCTCCGAATCCAACCATCAACGACATAACGAGTAATGCTCTACAGTCAGTCATGCAATCGTCACAATATCCCTCATTTTTCGCATTACACCCGGCGTACGCGAACTTAACGCGTGCAACCTGCCGAACCCCACACCATCCCCGTAGAGGTGCCAGCACGGAGAATTATGTATGTTAGGCAATCGGGATGAATTATTCCTAAATGTATAATACAGTATTATTCGTGTTTTTGGGTGTTTTACAGGGGTACTGTATAATTCGCGTGTAATAAAATAAAACACGTGTAATAGAAACCCTAATGTATGTACCTTGAGCGAATTCCTTTATCTACTTAAAGTCCGCGGCGGTAAGGGCCTGTACCATACTCGTACCCTCGCTGAATCGGGTGCGGAAGATGCGGTTTGCGTTCTGGAACATGCCGTCCTTGAGGGAGACAACGATGAACTGGGAGCCCTTGAAGCGCGTCTTGATGAGGCGGCCGATATTCTGCGTGTGCGACAGGTCCAGCGCCGCATCCACCTCGTCTAGGATGTACATGGGCGCTGGCTTGAACTGCAGCAGTGCCATGATAAGCGAGAGTGCTACGAGCGATCTATTTGTTATTATAGTTAGCGGTGTAAATGATATGATAGATAAAAGGCAGATAGCTATAAATCAAGAAGAGACACGAAGGAGAGCGCATGAGGACTTACCGTTGACCACCACTTAGCTCCGTTAAGCTCTGCTTCCACACCTTGCCTAAGCAGACCTTGACCTCTAGACCCTCGTTGATAGTTTTGCCCTCGGGCGGGTCTAGCTTCGCGAAGCTGCCACCGGGCAATAGCTCAGAGAATATCTGGCCGAAGTCGCCGTTGACCTTCTCCCAGGTCTGGAGAAGGGCCTTCTTCTTGTAGTCGTCGAGGCTGACGATGGTTTCCTCGATCTTGCGCTTATCACGGATGACCGTCTTCATCATGTGCTTAAGCGACACCTCTTTCTTCTCGACGCTATCGATCATGTTCATGACCTTGGGATTGATCTTCTTCTTCATGCCCTGGAAGCGGTCCGTGAGCGTCTTCAGCGTGGCTTTGCACTCCGTGATGTTCTGGCCCTTGAAGTCGTACGGTGTTCCCGTGCGGCCAAAGTTGTCCTTCTCTTCGGCAATCCAATCGAACTCCTTCTCCATGTTCGCCACGGCTTGTATCGCATGTTGCTGTTCCTTGTGGAATTTGTCAACTGTGTGACCAAGCTTTTGCTTTTCGAGACCTTCTTCGGCAATCCGACTATTCTTTGACCGGATTGCCTCTTCAAGCGCATGCAGCTCATCATCAAACCCGGTCAGTTTGGCCCTTTCGTCGTCAAGCTGTGCTTGTGCGAGATCGTGAGTCTCTTGTAACTGCGACTGTTTCTTGATAAGATCCTCGATCTCCTCCTGCTGTGACTTGATGGCCAACTGAACTTCTTGTAGTTGCTCCCTCGCGGCGGCGAGATCGCCTGAAACCTGTTCCGAGTCTAGCTGAGCACCTTGAAGCTCTTTCTGTAAAGTCTTGACGGCGCTCGAATTCTTAGCCAACGTCGCCCGCAACTTGTCTAGAGAAGCTTGAAGTTCTACAAGTTTCGAATCCTTGTTGTTTTCAAAATCTTTCATATCCTTCTCTATCCTCTTGACATCTGCACTGGCCTCGGCCTGCCTCTTCTTAGCTTCAGCACTCTCGTTCTTGAGTTGTATGATGGTCTCCTTCATATTCTCCACCTCCTGGATGATTGATGATGAAGAGTTGCAACTAATTTGTTCTTCTGCGAGTTTGATTTCGTGTGTCTTAAGATCCAGATCCTGCTTGATCTTACGAGCCTGATCGAGTTTAGACTTTTCTTGCGAGATCCTGGTCTGGAGACCATGTAAAGAACGCTCTGCTTCTTTAAGTTGACGGTTGATCTCGTTTAGCTTCTGCAATGTGACCAATACACCACTGGACTTAGGCGCACTGCCGCCCGAGAGCGTCCCCGAAGGGTCGTACGCATCGCCTTCAAGAGTAATACTTCTCACCCTTACATTAGGATCGAAAGCCACCCTCTTAGCTGTCTCAGCGTCCTGGCAGATTAAAGTATTTCCGAAGATGGACTCCATTGCCGCAGATACCTCATCATCGTACCCTACGAGCGATAGAGCTAGATCGACCTTACCGGGCGCAATGTTTTGAGCTGTAGTTGTCTGCGCCGAGGCTTTAAATCTTTGGATCTTGTTTAGGGGAATAATGGTAACTCTCTTCCGTAATTTACCGCCCTGTAATAATTGCGTACCCGTAACTTCGCTGTCTACAACAACATTATACAGACGACCGCCGGCGCATATCTCTAAAGCCGTGCCGGCTCTAGTATGCTCTTTGTCAAGGGTAAATAATTGGGCGACCAGTCCCTTGACTTTCGAGCGATCGAAATTGGGAGTTGGGTCAGCATAGTTGAAGTCAATGTTAGCAACCTTGCGCTTTAGGACGTCTGCCTCTTGGCGTAAGCCCCTGATGGTCTGCTGCAATGACGACTCTTGCTTGTACATCTCTTCCTCCTGTCCTGGCTCAAAACCGAGCTTCGCAAGTTGAGCCTGTAGCTTCTGTGACTGGGTCTTGAGGCCATCTAGCTCTTTTAACAAGCCGGCGTTTTGTTCTTTAGCCTTTTTAGCTCGGGGCTCTTCCTCCTTGATTCGTTTCTCAAGATGGGCTATTTTAATTTTGGCTTGCTCCTGCTCAGTTGCTGCCGCTGCCACCCGATTTTTCGCATCTTGCAGTTGACCTTGGTAGCCGCTTTCTTGTCCTTCCTTGGATGCAACACCTGTTTGTAACGTCTGAAGCAATTCTTCTTTCGATTCTGCCTCCTGGCTCTGCTTCTCGTTTGCCTCTTTCGCCTCGTCGTACTTGGCCTTAGTTTTCTCATAGGCTTTCGTTTTCTCCTTCAAGGCCGCCTCTAATTCGGCAACGTTCTTCTGCACCGCAGTCTCCTTCTCTTCCTCCTCGGCTTTACTGGACTTCTTTAAGTCCATGACGGTGGCGAGCCGAACTAGCTCGTTAGAGTGCTTCTTGACTTGATCTTCTAACGCTTGGGCTTTCCCCCCCTTTCTCAGCTCTTTATCCCTTTCCGCTTTCACTCTCTTGACGTCTTCTTCAAGGTGGGATATCTCGCTCTTTAGCCTGGCCGCAGAATCTTCAAGATCTTTCTGTCGTTGCTTCTTATTCTCCAGGTCAGTCGCAGATTGCTCTAGTCTCTCCTGGTACTTCAGGTAATCGTGTGCGACTACTACTCTCGTTAAACGCTCCAAGTCATTTTGTGTTTGTTGGAAATCTAGGAATGCTCTCTTCTCGGTCCGTAACTTCTCAAGCTTAGGCTCAATTTCGTCACGCAGGAGCTCGGTGATCTCTTGAAGTTTCATTTCCTTTTTCGCCATAGTTTTTAATGCCTTATCTCTTCGGTCTTCAAACATCCTTGTGCCGGCTGCTTCCTCGATCATAGCTAATATCTCGACCGCCTTCATGTTCAGCACCTTGGTGATTCGACCTTGCATGATAAGGAAGTTGGGATTGTTTATGTTCAGTTGTACCGATTGAAAGAGATTTTGAACTGTCTGTTGTTGTGCTCGGTGTCCATTTATTAGATACTTCGAGGTACCTCCTAGGACGATCTGTCTAGTGACGCTGATAGTCGCATACTCTTCAAATCCAATTGGCGACTTTTGTTTATCTCTGTTGTCGAACACGATCGTGACGCTGGCTTTCGTGACACCGGCTTGACCGCGCTTGTAGATCAGATCCTATACTCGATAGTCAGGCCCTGTAAGATTATAGATTAGGGTATATCTTCCTTTCGTACCTGTAAATTTTGGGCTCGCACCGTCGACATGTTCGTAATACCGAGAACGAAGCAGATGGCGTCCAGAATATTGGACTTGCCACTACCGTTCAAGCCGGTAATCGAGTTGAAGCTCTCGTCCCTTTGCGACGTGAATTTTAGTTATGCGACGTAGGGGATAGGGGATAATCCTTATTTACTAACCATCCTGATATGACTGTTCGAACGGCGTAGGATTTGAAGCCCTTTCCAATAAATCAGTAGAGGTAGCTATAATATGTTGGAGTATACGTACATCTATAATCACCTCCGTTACCCTCATATTGGCGAATGCGACGGGTTCCGCATGTAAATTCTGGCGTTGTTGTCTACTTACTTAGCGGTACCTAAAGCTATTTTCTACATTTAAGTCACTATTAAAGCCGTTGCCGACGCGATTAAGGTCAACAAAAACAAATTGCAAGGCACAGGATGTCATTGGCTGCTGATTGCCTCTTATGTGGGGTTCTTCAGTTGGTTCAGCCCTGATTGCTAGTGATTTTGGTGGTTACACGGACCACTTCTAAGGCGGTGGAGGATGGCAGAACCATGTAGCCCCACTATCCTCCCTCTCCCCTCCATCTATTAAATCATCTTGCGGTTCCTCTCTCTAAAGTTTTTCTTCTTTTCTTCTTCAGCTCTCTTTGCCTTTTGGCTTAGATCAAGTGTAGTATCTGTTCTTTTCAGTTTAATCTCTGAAAGAGTCCTACTGGACTCAATCGTGATTATTCTTATTTTTGTACCAAAGGAGCGCATCCTCTGTGCTTGCGCATGATGGCTCCTACTGTGTCCCTGGTATTACACTGCCTCCAGGTGACGCGAATTTGTTTTCATTGCTGCCACTGGCTTGCCCAGGGCTGTGAGGAAGACAACCGGTTTACTTCCATTACCTTAGGTTAGGTATGTAATTCAGATTTGCTTGACATTACCTATCTTAGGTACATGTGTGTAATTAAAAGTATTTTTTGCTTAGATAAATCCCATTAGAAGCCATATAATTAACTTGTACCTTCAGCCTTCATAAATTAGTGGTTTTTCTTTTTTCCGTTTCTTTCTTATTAATTCTTTTCCTCGTTGAAGCTGTTATTCGCTCATTTCTCCCTCGTAGTATTTGTCTCTGTTTCAGCTGTTGAAGATAAAATCCGTATAAATCTACCACGTGTTATGTAGTTCGACAAGCTAGGCCTGATTTCCATACATTAGGTACATGTATGTATCTAAAGGTACTCAGGTACATGACCGGTTGCAGTGATCGGCCTGAATGTTACGGATACATAAATACCTAGGTACTTCAGAATCGATAAGCCCGCTAAATCTACATACCTACATGTAGGTTAGGTTAGGTACTCGCTCCGATAACATTCACCTGCTAACTACATAAAATCTGCACGCGACAAATAATAAGTTGACCACCGGACGTCATCTAGTCCTCAAGCCAAAGCTCACTGATTTAAGTCAGGTGTCTTCGTCTATAAGTCTCGTGAGGTCAGAATATTTAGGTGGGAAACGTTACCTACGTAGCAGAGGCTACAGAAATGGCAGACGAACAAGTGTCACTCACTTCCCTAATCTTCATAATTGTCCTTGGCGGCCTCATCATTCGATATCTATTCTTTTCGTCGCCAGCCCAACCCTCGCGACCACCCCGAGATGCCCAGGCGGTATCGCGCGCTAGAGAGGCCGCAGTAGAGAGGATACAACAAATCTTTGGACCGGATCGAGTCGATCGGAGGACTATCTTGTGGGATTTGCATCGCAATGGGGGAAACATAGCGGCAACTACGGAACGGATATTAGCAGGACGTATAGAGACCGTGAGTCCAACATTATTTACGAACGCGAACCTCCACCACCGTATTCCCAACTTTGATAAACTAATTCATACTTACTAACATCGCGTTCTCGTTTAGCCCCCTATCACATTCCAGCCGTCCCCTCCTCCAACTTCTCCCAACCCCTCGGCGACACAGACGCAACCCTTCAAGGCGCCTCCAAAGCCTGCCGAGCCAGATTTGATCACTAGATATAAACTACAGGATAAAGTTAGCACCGGCAGCGAACCCGAATCCTCGACAAAACCTAAGGCATGGAGCTCCAACCGGAATGAGCGACAAGCATCCCTACAACGAAGGCGAGACGAGATGATTTTAGCGGCAAGAAGGAAAATGGAAGCCAAAATCGCAGCAGAGAAATCTGCCGGAAACACCCAGCAATAAAATAAACATTGGCCTACGGGGTTGGACTAGTAACCTAGGGTCTGGATCGCCGTTTGGGGAGGCGGGCTGTGTATCTCGAATTCAACCCTCAAGTTAAGAGTGCTTTGTATATCATGATTGAAGTATATGTAAAGCGTACCTTGGTCTGAGATAATACTATAGACCTTGAATCAAATCAAGCGAATTAATGTAACAACTCCGAATATCTTTACCAAACCATTGTCTAACCAAGTTTATCCCCGTATTTCCAATGCAACTATATGCAGATTCTATAATGCCAAACAAAGAGGGGAAAATCCCGCTCTATCTTCCCATATGTGTACATACGCTATGCCAAGCCATTAAGCAATGCAAAGAGCCATTATGTCATGTCTCATTTCTGTCTCTGCTCGATCAATTGTAGACCCTGTCCGATACCATCTTGAACGCCTCCAGCAACGCTCTCTATAGTCCAAGCGGCAAGGTCAGACATTGCCTTCCCAAGTTTACCTTCACTTATGGCGGAGACTAGATATTCAATGTTAGTGATTAACAGTTGCGGAAACCCTTAGCGGCGACTCTAGATCTTGGCATCTGCCTCACAACCTTATACCCATAGAAGATGTTACGAAGTCCAAGGTTACGTTTTGAGGATAAGGGGTATCAGAACAAGAAAGGAGATGGGCAGCGTACTCTTCTCGCTCAAAGCTCCACTCTGCTTCCCAACGGTAGTGGCGAAAACGAAGCTACTAGAGATGATGTGCTGTGAGATGTTGTACTGGCGTTCGTAGTATGCCCCGGCGCGGATAACAATCGCAAAGAAGGACAAGAGTAGGTAGATAAAGATAACAAGGCCTGTGACGAATCCTTGAACCGCTGAGTGGAGAAACGTCTTTGCTCTATCAGACGGTAGCCAACCGAATGTACCTGGATCGCCCTTGATCTGACCATTCATATCTAACTGCGCGCATGACTTCGGTAGTGCTCGGTGGATGATGCTAACCTCGCACTCGTCCATGTCGTCTGGGAGGGCCTTGAGCATATATGCAACGCCGTCAATATACGATTTCCTCGCAAATGTTAGGTCTGACGTTTCTTGGGAAGCCGACTGCTGCAAAAAGGATCCTAGGCACTAATAAATAACCTACGCTTTCTCTGAAGACAGGACGGGAGTACTCATACCTTGCCTAGCATACCTCCACTTCACACCTGAGCTTGCGTTTATAACACGACCGTCGGGACCGGAAGGCTTTGGTTTGTCCTCCACGAGTCTATTGTTGGCCACCCCTGACGCTGTGGCGCATGTCTGTAACTCGACAATTGCATTCGCATCTCTTCTTGCGATGACCACGGGTTCATCATCCTGAGATGTTATAGAACGCTGCCGAGAGGGTAAGATAGACCGGCTTGTAGACCGGCGGAGCGACTGAAGGTCCGGCAATCGGGACTGGACTGACGTCGGTAACATGTTGAACACTACTATGGACATATTCCTCTCCATCATGGTGTCTCTATCTGCCTCTTCCCCGTCTTTACCTTCTCGGGCTCTATAATATTGAGGATTCTATGTCCAGGTTGATTCTTCGATCATTACAGTCAAATAAAAATGCTTGTTAAATAAAATAAATATAACAATCGAGGTTAAGCTAAGCTCGGAGGAAGGTTGAATTTATGCAGCAGAGCCTGTATTACCCCTTGTACGAAATCTTAACGTTTACTTAGAGGCTTAGTGTAGAGGTAGGAGGTATGCACCCATGTCCACGCAGGACGGGAGCGTCAGGGAAGATATATAGGTAGGTATGTATTCAGTGCAAGGTCCCTAATGGCTACCTGGTTAGGAGGTAGTTATTGCTACATCGCCACTGTTTCAACCACGAGGCCCACCTCTCTATTTGTAAAAGGCGCTGTCGTTCGAGATGAAGATAGATAAGCGATTTTCACATGCAACCTTACTACATGCCAAGAAAGTACATGTACCAACCTATGATACCCAACACCGGCCTCGCGGGTATATATATGTACTGATATCTCCTCTCTGTGATTCGAAGCGGTCAAGGCCGACCCATTGCAATGTAAGGTACCTGTCAAAATGACTTGGAGCATGTGAAAAATACTTTTCTTACGGGTATTTTTATAGGCACTTATTGGCCGAGAATGAAGAAAACGCGGACACTACATACATACAGCTTAGCGTCCCCGTATGTAGTTCGGATCTACTACACAGAGGTACATAGCTCTGTACATAATCTTGCATACCTAAGGTACCTACCTACATTATGAGGTACCTAAGGTATATTTTCCTCGACTAATTGTTACACCCGAATTTGTAACAAATATACAGTATCAAGTTTTCGTATGTTAAACACCGTTAAATAATCATGCCGTTTGCTTACCTGAATATGAGCTTGTTTATTAAGTACCTGATTTATTAGCGACGTACAAGGCCCGGGCCAAAAGTCTTGCACATCTCCAGATCCCTAGCACCGTATTCCGTATTTTGTACGTCTTTCGATCCACTGGCACTGTATGAGCCACACGCTAAGCCAAAGGTCGAATACCTAGTGGCCCGTCCACTAAATTTAGGTGGCTTATCACTATATTTATAGCGATACCAGCCACTATATCTTAAATAAGACTGTATAGTTCTTCTTTTTACTCGCACGTGGCTTTGCCAAGCAGGTGTGCAAGACTTTTGGCCCGGGCCTTCGTATGTAGGTACTGTGTGCGGACTTGAGCCTCAAAATACACGTGGGTGTTTAATGAATCAGATACGGTGAGTTATTATATCGAAGGGCTAAAACTGGGACTGCCCCCCAAGGCGGGGTACGTAGCGGAATATACTTTATCCGCGCCTATCTGTGTGAAAACTGATAGTGGGCTGAGTGGATCTGGACCTTATCCTCCCAAAAAAAATTTCGAGTTGAAGAAATTCATTCAAAGTCGCCTCCACTACGCGCCTAGTTTCTTCCTCTATAAGGTCGTGTGCAAATGAAACACTTCCTTCACAACCTCAATTGTTAATTCTTGAGAGGAAATTTCCAATTCTCTGCCATAATGTTCAAGTTTTCTCTGCAGAGGCATGCCCGCCTGGGTAATTTGGCCCGTCGTCAACTCTCGACCTTGGTCTCGCAACAGATTCGCTCTCGACCAGTCGTAGCATCATGCCAGAGGCTGGCGCAAAGAGAACGACAGCTAGTCCCTCTGAGACAAATTGCACTGCGATTATATTCTCAAGAGTCCGCCGCAGCTTATGCTAATACGCAGACCGATGACTCGCCGGCTTCATTATACAATATCACACGATTTGAAGATTTATCAAAATTGGGTGTTGACGAACGTATCATTCGAGCCATTACCGTGGATATGAAATACGATAACATGACTGAGGTCCAGTCATTAACTATCAACCCAGCTCTCAAGGGAATCGACCTGTAAGTATAATATGGCGTTTTACTTGTTGTTTTGTTACTAATTGTAGTAAGGGTGGCACAAGCAAAGACAGGAACAGGCAAGACCTTAGGCTTCCTTGTCCCTGTCTTCCAGCGTCTCATTACGGCTGATCCAAGTCTTGCTTCCCCGCAACACCGCCGAGATGCTTCTTCACAAGATATTCGTGCTATAATTCTATCTCCTACACGTGAGCTAGCAGAGCAGATTGGCGTTGAGGCCAGGAAGTTAGCGCGACACACCGGAATTGTCGTCCAAACCGCTGTTGGTGGGACAAGGAAGAGGGAAGCTATGTTCAAAATGCAGCGCGAGGGATGCGACGTACTCGTTGCTACTCCGGGCAGACTCCAGGATATCCTATCGGATCCCAGTACCAAGGTTGATGCGCCGAAAATACAATCATTTGTATTGGACGAGGCCGACCGCATGTTAGATGTTGGCTTTGCGGACGCTATCCGCGACATTGTCGACCTTCTCCCACCAATTAGCCAAGTCGACCGTCAAACACTTTTATTCTCTGCGACTATCCCCCGAGATGTTGTACATCTAGCCAAGAGTATGGTCAAGACAGATAATTTTGATTTTGTTCAAACCATCAACCCAGACGAGACTCCAACCCACGCACGTGTTCCGCAACACCTTGTGTCCACGAAGGGATACGAGAATTGGTTCCCAGCCGTCCTGGAAATTGCTGATCAGGCAATCAAGGATGCTAAGAGCGACCCTGATGCCCTTCCTTTTAAGGCAATACTCTTTTTCTCAAACACAGCCACCGTCCAGTTTGCCAACCGCGTATTCAAGAACACCCCCCTAGGACACAGAATGACCGGTATGCCAATATTCGATATCCATTCAAAACTTAGCCAAGACGTACGAACCAGGAATGCTGAGGCTTTCCGTCGTGCTCAGACCGGTATCCTTGTCTCGTCAGATGTTACTGCTAGAGGAATGGATTTCCCCAATGTATCCCATGTCATTCAAATTGGCCTTCCCCCAGACAGGGATCAATATATCCACAGAGTCGGCCGAACAGGTCGTGCTGGAAAATCTGGAGAGGGTTGGCTGATTCTGGCCGAGGAAGAGATCAGGGAAGCACGAGCTCGTCTTCCTGGCTTACCTATCAAGCCCAACCACGCCATAAAAAGTGCAAGCTATACCCTAGGAGAGGGCACCCCATCTCCGGAAGTGGCTAAATATTTCGAGGATGTATCTAAGGCCTATCAGCGTACCCCACGAGATCTCTTCGCAGCTGTCTATAATGCTCTGCTCGGCCAAAAGTTTGGAAAAGGTTTGGACGTCGAGGATTGCGTCCGGCTCCTTAATAACTGGTGTACAAAAGCGCTTGGTTGGGAAGAGACACCCGCCATTCCCCCCGCCTCGGCCAGGAACCGCGGCTTAGACAGAGTATCGGGCATCAGAATCGGGTTCGATAACTATGAAAGAGAATCGGACGATCGCCGAGGTGGTAGCTTTAACTCGTTTGACCGACGAGGTGGTGGATTCGGCTCGAATGACCGACGAGGTGGCGGGTTCAGTTCGAGTGGTGGTCGAGGTGGTGGATTCGGTTCGAATGACCGACGAGGTGGTGGATTCGGTTCGAATGACCGACGAGGTGGTGGTTTCAGTTCGAATGGTGGCCGAGGTGGCGGCTTTGACTCGGGCTCCAGATTCAACTCTAGAGATCGTCGTGGAGGAGGTGACCCGTTTGCCCGGCGCTCAAGTTCAGATTTTGAGTCTCGCGGAAGACAACCTTCTCGAGCATCATTCTAGGAAACTCGCGACCTCTCCCTATAATGGGAGTAACAGTTGATTTCTCAAGATTCGTTATCTTGTGCTTAATTTTCTAATGTACTATGCTGCTTCGGAAGCAAACTCCCCTTCCTAGGTAGACACCTATGTATGAGGGTATAGATCCGCACGAGCCCGCTAGCACACGGCTTGGGGCCGATGACGTGCAAGGACTCATGGGCTGGAAATACGTCTTATCGATAGATCTACATTTGCGGGAGGGGGCCTCAATCGGAGTCAAGGTTGTCTTGCTTGGTTTCACGGAACAATTCAAGGCGTCGGGCGGTCACTGGAAAAGGGGGCCGCACGGCACGGAAATCTCGACTATTTGTACTATAGTGTAAGACGACTCGTAACGACAGGAAAAAAACAATACGAAGCCAATGAAGCGCCATATTGACCTTGTGATATGTGGTTATACCACCAACTTCCCTTTCGTATTCGACTTAACTTGACCACCTTAGCAGCATATGTTCTAGTAGTAAATCACTTGGAAGAACTAGGTACGACTGGTGTGTTCCACATTTGTCTAGACTCTCTGATTTGCATACTGACACGGTTCAAAGCAAGAGTAAGAGTACGCTTTACGTTTAAATCTTGCGCGGCTTTCCAACTTCTACGGATGTCTCCTTTCGTCGTACCTAAATCTCATATTACGGAGACTACCTAAAGTACCATAGTCCCCCCCAAATCACGCAGCTGTCACATCTAGCCTGAAATTTTCCAATTTAGTCTATAAGTGTAGGAAAGAGTTAATATCGTCGCATCCACGGTATTGATGTTAGTTGTAGGGTCTGGGTCGGCAGTTTGCTTGGAGTTATAGAGACAAAATATATGCCTGTTATGGGAGTATGAGAATGCCTTTGTATATCGAGCTGCTTACCTTAGGTAGTTTATATATAATCTCAGCGAAGGGAATAGGTGTTCCCAAGAAGGATTAAACTTGGCAATTTGTTAATGATATATTGTTTATAAAGCGGTAGGTAAGTGTGCCGATAATCATGCTTCGGCCATGAATGAAGTTGAACTATACAATAGCTAAGGGTAGATTAGGTAGGTATATAAGTGATTACATGTATGGGGCTACACCTCTAACAGTATGCAGTCCAATATTGAGGGTATGTGTTTTGTGTAGAATTATCCTACCTAGGTAGGTATCTACATAGGTTAGGTAAATAGCTGTTAGGTAGGCATATGGTAAGTCTAAGTCAGCACTGATCTATAATATGGCCTTTCGGCGTATCTATGAACAGATTAGAGAGGTATACAAGCTCAAAGCAGCTCAATTTAGCTTACAGGTATATAATATATCTTAAGTATATCCAACATCGTTAGTATCAATGACGATCTCCTTAAACGCCTCCCAATGCAACTTCCCGTTATATAGCTAACGCCGTGTCTTTTCCCGCCACTAAATGCTAATGAGTTGGTCTCATGCTTGCCCCTGTAATAGCCTATTCGCATCCCACAATAGTAATCTTTCATCCCATCCCACAGTTGCAACCCAACCACCAACGCCAAATAAACACCAATCGACGCCCGTTACAAATTCGGTATGCCTGTTCATAATACCAAGCTGGATTCCAGCCTTGACTGGAGACTCCTGTTGAGTTGCCATCGTCGACCCGTCTGTCCATAAACGAACTGTCATGTCGTAACTCGCGCTGATCAAGATGTCACTGGCATGTGGGCTCCATGCTAGCCTCCGAACAGCGTAGTCGTGACCCAACATTACAGATGCAGGCCCTGCCGAAGGATGCCTAATATCAAACGTCCGTATTACCTTGTCTACGCCTCCCGTCGCGATCACTGTGTGATTGTATTTATTCCAGTCGTGGGTCAATATTTCCCCTGGTACAGCGGGAGGAGTTGGCCCCTGGAGGGGAGAGACAGGAGAGGGGATGTGAACTGGAATCTTTGTTGTTAAGTGATATTGAGCGCTGACTGGCGTTCGGAGATCGAAAATGCGTAAGTGTGAATCTGTCGACACTGCGGAGATGATATTTGGATTAGATGGACAGTATGATGTGCTGTAAGTACAATTTCCGACGGGGAGAGTTTCGATGGATTCCTTTCTTGCCGGTGACCACTACCCAATGCCGTTTAGAATGCCTGGTGCTGCTTGACACATGCCTAAGGGGATACGTACAATCTTTATTGTTCCATCCCATGAGCTAGAGGCAAAAGTATCTTTGGTAACGGGACTCCATGCTACCGAGAAAGTCTCCCGCTTATGCTCATGGAAGTTCATTACGGGGAACTCATTGACATTCATATCGTAGAGCTTGATAGAGCCATCACCACATGCGACCAGTAGCTGGTTCTCGTTGATCTCAGACCAGGCGAGGTCGTACTGGGCGTCGTTCGTATCGAAGCTGGACAAGAAAGAGTCTTAGTTTGTTGTGTTAAGCTATAAATGTACTTGCAGTCGCTCACGTCTTCTCAATCTGGACGCCTTGCGGTCCCAATCCCAAGCAGAATACGCGGCCATTTCCTACAATGCCGTAATTCGCCGCGGATGCGACAGCGATTCGCGAATCGTAGTATGGTGAGTATTTGACGGCGTAAGGATTCCAGCCAGGTGTGCGGAACTCCAACATAGCGGCCATGTTGCTTGTATGAAGAACATAAGCTCAGACTTGCTGGCGCATATATATAAGAGGTAGCTAAATGTACCTAGCTCAGTTGAAGATTGACAGCTGAAGAATGACGATGAGTTCAGTATGTACCTAGAAGCCAAGACGTGGGGCCTCGGCTTTATAGTAGGTACCTAGGTACATATGTGAGTACCTTGAGGTCCCTTGAGTGCTGATTCATATCGATAGGACCACCTTCACTGAATTACCTACATGTAGGCAATTTCCACTTTCATTATTGCATCTTTAGGCAACAAAGCTACCTACATACATAGACCGAGAAATCTAATGTATACATCTCGCCATCTGAGTTTCTTAGAATTCTCATCACCCTCAAGGGATATGAAAGGTGAAATAAACATGAAAAATGACGTGACACGTCTTATATTGGGGATTTTACATTCTACCTTACAGGCCATATCATGGACGCATTCTTGAAAGGAACCAAGCGAAAGTCATCCGCTGTGGAAGACTCGTTTCTAGTCGATGATAATGAATCGACAGACGTGAAGCTGGCAATTCTCTCGTCATTGCACTCTAATATCAGCCAGGAAGCCCTACTGGAATCACTCTTAGAACATGACGGTTCTGTTCGAGCTGCTTCCGCTTCTCTGGCTGAGGATCGATCAGCATCGCCAAAGAAGAAACGAAACAGCGCTATTGGTTATCAGTCTTCGCTTAGACTATTTGCGTCCAAGTCTTCGACTAGAGAACGACCCATGTCACCGAAGAAGGCGAGAAACCTTTCCAAGAAAGGGACGACGCTTCATTTGTATGATCCTGAGGATGTAGCCGAACATACACCTTGCAGTATCATTCATAATTTTCTACCATCAGATGAGGCTAACGAGCTTCTCAAAGAAATGTTAAGCGAATCTAGTTCGTTCGATAAAATCACATTCAAATTATTTGATAACGTGGTCCAGAGCCCACATACATCGAGCTTCTACGTGGGGACGGAAGCCGAAATCAACACTCAGAAACATGATTATTTCTACAACGGGGCCCGATTGACGGACGTACGGCCTATCACTCCTCAACTTTTGCATGTTCGCCCAAAGGTTCAAGAAGCGGTAAATAGAGAAATTCAAACCCGTATCAAGACTCGTTACCCCGGCGGACGAAAGTTGAAGTATCAGTCTCCGGATCCATGGTCACCGAATTGTGCCTTTGTCAATTGTTACAATGGGCCTCAGGAGAGCGTTGGCTATCATAGCGACCAACTAACCTACTTGGGTCCGCGGGCTGTAATAGGCTCGCTTTCCTTAGGTGTGGCAAGAGAATTTCGTGTTAGACGGATCACGCCAAAAGACTTTGATACTAGCCCTACAGATGATCCGGACGCTGAAGGACAAATATCTATTCACCTTCCACATAATTCCCTCTTGGTTATGCATGCTGAGATGCAAGAGGGATGGAAACATAGTATCGCCACGGCCCAAGCGATTGATCCTCACCCCATTGCAGGCAACCGGAGGATCAATATCACATACCGGGATTACAAGCCAAGTTTCCACGCAAAATATACGCCGAGATGCAAATGTGGCATTCCCGCCATACTAAGGGTCGTTCAAAAGAAGAAAGAAAACCAAGGAAAATATTTCTGGATGTGTCACGGCGGAAATGTACCTGGTAAAGAGAATTGCTCATTCTTCCAATGGGGCGACTTCGATGACGACGGAAATCCTAGCTGGGACAAGTCACGATATAAATTTGCCCAGAACAATGACGATTTCGAGAACGGGATACAATGATATGCTTTTAGTGCCTTCGATACAAGTGAATATAGAAAACGATATTCCCCGTTACTACCACCCAATCTCGATCTTCATTCGCAACTTTAGGGTTTTATGGCTCAACATAGAGCGGCGGACGATTGTAACCATCAACCTGTTTCACGTTTAAGTTGCCGACATCTAAGTCGTTGAAAACCCTCAGGTTAATCGGTGTTTGCGACAACCCTCCCCTGACGAACTCTCGCAGGCCTTCGGGTAGCTTGTTGAGCTCCTCCTCGGAGATCGGTGGTATGTTGTTATGAACCGATATCCCACATGTTTTACAAAAAGACTTCTCGGCCAGCTTGGTACCAAATTTATAGTACGCGAGATTTTCTTCACCTTCAATCTCGACCTGGTCTTTCTGAGGATATAACCATACGTAACCCATCTATAGTAAGTTAGCCCCGGGTCTCTAGAGGTTTTGGCGATATAAATGCTTACCCTATTGCATATACTGCAGTTACATTCCATGATGGTTTCTGTGGAGGTCTTATCGAGAGGCTTTGTTTTCAATGCCACCTTGACTGCGCCGCAATGGCAGCTACCAGTGTATACCTTCCCGCCTTCTATCACGGCTTTCGGCTCTGGTCCTGTGAACTTAGGTGCCTTATAAGGGCCTCTGAAGTTTTTGTTATCCGCACTAGAGATTGGCGAGAGATGACCTGTCAACGTCCGCGCTTCGAGACCTGAGGTGGACATGAGCAACTCACTAGAACTTTAGTATATTCCATACGTCGACACCTTGGCCATGCTGGAACGATCGAACCTAAGGGCGAATTAGCCATTTGCAAGCTTCACTCTCTTCAGTGTCTCTGAAGAAATGTATATCACTTACATTGGCTCCCATCCTAGGTTCCTCACCGGGCTTCGGAAGCGTGGCGTCTCCAACAAACAAAAGCTGAACTCCACAGTTGGGGCAGAACTAGTTTCCCCTCACGTCAGCCTAACGAGAGCAATACAACCCAAAATCGTAAAATGGTACGAGCCTTGTGGTTAATGGTTTTCTCTCCGAAGGTATAATTTGCCAGGGTATTATGGTCGCCTTTGACGAAGCGGATGTTTCCCGGCTCAGGAACAACCCACAATGCGCCCTTCTTATAGCACGAACTGCAGTTGCACTCGAGCACCTTGAAGACATGGGGCATCTTGGCTTCATAGACATAGGCGCCGCAGTGGCAGCTGCCACGGTAGGTCTTCAAGTCTCCAGACATTCCGTCGACGAGGTATCTATAGGGTTTTAGCTCTTCGGCCATCGCAACAAGGGGTTGAGTAATAGTATAAGAGGCTATTTACTAGTGTAGAGACGGGGTCACAATCTATGCTTAGGGATTGCCTGGAAATTATGATGGGTTTAATAACCGTTGTTGATTCTTCGTCCAGTACGATCTCGAGTAAAACCAGACTGCAAACTTGTAAGGGTTTAACCGAAAATTGAACTCCGAGGTTGAAGACCTTCTTAAAGGAGCTGCCCGATTCCAGAAACATGCCCGATACCGATAGCCGATAGCTAGGTAAATCCCGCAGGAGGGATAGCACTGTGTATGCTGGAATCCTGGAACGGGTTGAGACATGCATATTATTATCGTGACTCCCAAGACGGAATATTCGCCAGCCGTCGAATTCCCCATGTTATAACCCATAGCCGCAGTTGGAGGACTATAAGAATGGTGGAGACTAAGTATACCTATAGGTACTTTATAACTACCTATCTATTAGGTACCTACTTATAAACCAGTTCCTACGCTATGTAATTCCTACATATAATTCCTATATCAACGCGCGTTATCATTACTTGACCGTGGTTGAATCGCGTCACGCTATCAGGTGACAGACTAGCCGGATGACTCATTTACTATGGGAATAACGCAATGTCTTCTCTCGTTGAATTTATAGATATTTTATACTCTGATTGTTTATACACATCGCGTTCCTGTTTCGAAGGAGGATATCCCCTCCCCGGAGAGTAGGGCGAATGCTGAGGGAACGTGTTACAGAAAATCTCTTTCTCTGAAGCGGATCTGCATTACCATTTGTCGCCCGACTAATGTTTGCCCGTGAATGATAAGGTAATTTAGAGAAAGGGGATTATTGTTAACCACACAAAACGCACAGCAGCAGGAGACCTGACGCAGGAGCGCATGAGCGCATTCTCGGTTGCGTATCGGCGGCGGGGGCGGGGGACCGGGGCCGTCCCTAGCCAATTGTTTACGAATAAGTCATACTTCCAAGCATGGCAAACCCGTTGTATAAGATGCACCAGGGGACCAGATGTGATATTGGATTTTACATCTGCAAAAAAGCCAGCCACTAGATAAAAATATTCATAGTGCCAATGATACACTACAGGACAGTTTACGTATAGATAGGTAGGTACCTAACCTTAGGTAGGTCCCGTTTGGCTACTACCTAAAATACATGTATACTACTATGTACCTAGGTACTTCGTACATATGTAGTCAGCCAGGTACATAGAGCGAAGGCCGATAAGATAAGGTAAGTAGAGATTGTTGGCAGTGGGACATCGAAAATCCGGGCTTAGGCTGTAAGGCGATCGAAATTGCGGTAGCAACATCCGGATTCCGGCCCAGCCACTTATCAGTGGTGATTAGATCAAAACCTTACGTGGGTCGCGACGGATACAACGCGATGTTGGCGCCTTAGTCTCTTTCCACTCAAGTATCCTCCAGCCTTGTGCGTTGTACAGTAGACGATCATTTTATCCACTTAATTCGTTTTCGCATGCAAGCGCGCACTTTATTTTGGATTAACTTTCGACGATGGCATCGTGAGTTTCGTCAAGACTGTTGCAGAGTCTCGCGCGCGATTTCTGCGTTACCAGGGCAAACCGAGCACCATCGTACCATCATCACAACCAGTATCACAACCATAACCACAGAGCCCAGCGGGGCGGGAGTAACCCAAATCATAAATTGAAAGCCCAATCAATTGTTTTGTGTTTTCTCCTTCATTTACTTCGATTGGCGTCGTCCTCGGAATCAAGTTCGCTATGCCGCCATTAGAACCTTCGCGCAGCTTCGCGCATGATATGCTCTCAAATCTTGCATCCAGATCATCACCTTCGACAGCCACACCTACGTCGACGTTAAACCTTGCACAGAAAATCCACGACTTTGCCTCCCGCACGCTCCTCCCCCGACTAGCGACGGATGTGAGCACGGTCCCTGAGGGATACGGCCGGACTGCAAGCGGCCCGGCCCCGGGTGCGGTCGCCGGTATAGTCTTGGGTTCCGTCGCAGGATTCATACTCCTGTTGTGGATAATATACTGGTGCGTGAACTTGGGATCACCAGCGCCTCACCTCGAGGAGGGCTCCGTAAGCGGAGTGGGTGGCTCCTCGTCTGTAGTGTCGTACCGCTCGCGACCGCGGGTGCGCCGTCACCGACACAGCCATAACTCGCGAACGTCGCAGCAGTACTCGCCGCATCGGCGGAAGGAGACCGTCGAGATCACGCGGCGTGACCGCACTGTTCGCCGCTCTCCATCCTCATCTCCTGCCCGTGTACCGGAGGTCGACCAAATTGTCGTGCTAGAGGAACATAGCCGGTCCCGGTCCCGGCCACGGTCACGTTCGCGATCAAGGTCGAGAAGTATTAGTCGCCCACGACCTGCTCCGACACGTAGCGACGGCGACGACGAGATCGTAGTGCTGGAGGAACACACGCCGCCCAGGCGGGGGAGCAGGAGTTATAGACGTAGGAGCAGCGAAAGGAGGAGTGGCGCGCAGTATAGAGACGTGGAATATCGTAGGAGGAGCAGCTCCCGAAGATGATGATTATAGCAATAACAGGATGAGAAAACGAGCAAGCGATTTTTAAGGGGGATGAGCTTATGGTTATATTGAAGTACAATATGAATGAATATATGGGAAATACCTGGAGCTTTTGTGTTTTAACTAGTGGAATAGCATGGCGTATAAGGTTGTATGAGATGATGGGGATGTCTAAGCTATTGTAGTATATCATATATCATGTACTATTAGGAATTGGGATAACACGGTGCATGCTCTCTCTCTCTCTCCCCCCTCCCCCCCCCCCGGTGGTAGTGGAGCCTATTAGTCATCTATAGGCTAATACCAAATACCTAGCACCAGATTTGTCTTTGAAGTTAGTCCAGTTAGGTACTTCTCTTATATATACATACCTAAGGATAAGACTTGAGAAGCGCTAGTTAAGTATTTTATAGTGAGAACATTTGTTTTTATACATATCAAATTTAATAAGGCTACTTCTTACATGTGCTCAAGTACCTATTGATATTATGAGGTAGTGAGGTTACTGAGGTACCTACATCGTAATAGGTTATAGCTTTCACGTTACTTTCAAAATTCTAAGAGGACTTAAATTTGCGTTGCGAATGCCTATCGCAAATGTATCGTAGTTCTATTATACCTTAGGTAAGTACCTAAGGTGCATATGAGGTAGGCAGGTAGCTTTTATAAGGAACTTGCCGATCGTCGAGATTTCTTGAATGATGTTGAGGTGGTTTCACATGTCAGGAAAGACCCGCGCCGCAAATATAATGACATCATCATCACTACCTAAAACAAAGCTCTACAGGAATGGACTTAAGTACCTAGACCTTATATATCGGATGTAGGTACTATAGGAAGGAGCAATGATAATGGGGCATATATAAGATTTCTACCACTTGAAAAGTGGAGCAGTAGAATCTTTACCAATACAACATTCTACCTCCTAATATTTCAGTACTTACCTGTTATATTTAACTTTACATCCTTAAACCTCAACCCTCTAGTCTCATACAAACTTTCGATTCAGAGATTCAGACATATGCAGCTAGCATCCCGATAACTTGAATAAACAGAATCAGTCAATTAATAATTAATAATAGCATCTTAAAATGGACTATCCCGAACAGCAGATTCAACACATCATCCGTGGCTTGACGCAATATTCGCGTGACGACCAATGGTCTATCCTAGAAGACTATTTCCTGCCTGATGCCTACTTCGTACATCCTTTCTGCCGCGTGCCATCCTTCGGCGATTACAAGATCCCATTTACGAACTTAACTACAAACTCTCGCCAATTCGTCTTCTTCATTTACCAATGGTATAGAATCCTAAGCCCGGATATACAGCTTTCCATCGATTCGACCAGTGAGTTTGCACCCATTCAGCAACAGATGATGAAATTAGTTTTAAATAATTGGTTACTAATTTACCAAGGCTTCGACAAGAATAAGAATCTCTTGTACGTCACGCTACGCCAGACCTTTACGCTGTGGTTTGTGCCGTACTCGCTATGGCAGGCCAACGTGAAGCTGGTCACAGTGCTGGAGCTGCAGCGGCTTAGCATTGATAAACACCATAAACCGTTACTCGACGAGACGCCGATTCCCGTCGATGCTGATCTAGCTCTGACCCCGGACCCGCCCACGCGGTACTTCATTAAGGGCCAGCAGGACCACTATCAAGTAGAGGATTTCCTGAAATTCATTGCCCCCTGGGGAGCGTCGCTTCTCTGGATCGCCTGGCAGCTTTATGCAACACTTATCTGTGCTATAGGCGTCTTGCTCCTCCGGTTCCCCATTGCCTTGTTTCGGCGGCGTGTCCTTGACCGGGATATTAGTGCCATTAAGAAGCAGTAGGATGCTTCACCCCCGGCATTCGAAGTAGCCCCCGAGGTCTGGGAAGTGAGTGCTCGCTTCGCAAAGCGGTGGACTCGAAATATCGGGAATAAAATAACCGCTTGGGTGGTATGTTCATATCTAGATAAGGATAATGACGATAATGCCGGCGATTGTGAGGGCCCCTCTGTTGATCTTTCACGCCTACTCCCTTTGCTCACAAACCAAAACGGGATGCTGTCACAGAATGGGTCAATGCCATATAATCCCTCGTCAGATCACAGTGTCTACACCAACGGACTCTCAACTTACGGAGCAGATGAAAGGCAGACGTCTCCGATATTACCAGCAACTAATGGCAACTATGTAGCAAGCAATGGCAACCACTGCCCAAGTACCGACAAAGGACGATTTGTATCACAGCAGGCCCTATGGCGATCCCAAAGCCATCTTCAGTACGTGACCAGGGTTGTACGCAGGGTTCGCAGGAGCAGCAACAACGCGGATAGCAAGCTCAAATCCTCGATATTAGCAGCAGACATCCAAGATGGGCCCGCCGTAGAAACGAAACATGATGAGATTCCGTCCGAGTACTTGGCGCTCGACCCATCGGAGCAAGACGATGATAACATACACGCCAACGATGAGGACTTGAAGAACTCACGGCCGATAACGCCATCACCGTCGGAGGTCTTGTCGCACCATATTTGGTTCGCCGAGAGGCTCAAGGCCAAGGCCCAGGAAATGGCTCGGGAGCGTAGGTAGGTGCTGATTTGGAAAATGAAGATGAATCTTTTATATGACGGCGCAGGAGATCAGATTAGCGGAAGAGAAAGCGAGGGATGCGTTTACGACACTATTGGGGTTACTGCAGTGAATACCGACGACTAGGCTGCTGGTATTTGATCTATGTACGAATGGGTTCTTCCAATCAGGGTACTGGGATTGGAAGTAAGACGGCTTCTAGCGGGTTTTCGGTATAGATTGGCCGTCGTATAGGGACATAGCGTCTTTATATATTCTTTTTTTTGTGTACTGCGTCGATTTACGGTACGCGTCTAACACCATGTGTGGGAGTATTCGAGTGGAATTAGTCCTGTTCTGTGGCGGACGTACCCAGTACTCGGCCTGATAGTGTATAATAGCGATGAAGTGATATAATTAGGAGTAAGACTCCGATCAGTGTGTTCTGCTACGTGCTATAGTCTATATGCTAGGACAAACTGTGGAAACGGGCCTCTCCTAGAATAGCCTTTAAAGATGAATTTTCTTACCTAGTACATGCTTTCCTTCTTCTATTAATACCACGAATCAGAGAATTGGTATATAATGTCTACCTAGATATATGGAATATGTTTAGTACAAAGGGCTGAACACGTTGACGATGTCAGTGCGTAAGGATTGTATTCCGTATACTAGTCCCCTCTATTTTAGACATGCGGGCCCATGAGTGGGGACTGGAAGGGACGTAGAGATCGAGTGATTATGGAAAGACTGGCTTCGTATGCTTCGTTATAGGGTATTGTATCCAATCCAAGACGGTTATTGGACGTTTAGACAGTTTTGCTTAGGTGTAAGGTGTGTGACCATTCCCCTACTTATCTAGGAATAATACAAGACAGGATGTTCTTATACGCGTCTAGTATAACTAGTTGTAAATAACTAGTAACAACGTCAAAGTATGGATCGGGATGGGAATAACCCCTGTTTATATCAAGCCCGAGACGATGATGTCTATTATAATAGTTAGATAGGTACCTAACCTAACATATCTGGCACTTCAAGCAAGTATGTTTCCATCAAAGTCAAGCGAGCAAGGAGCGTGTATTCAATATGCCCAAGGCATTAAATCCACCATACCTAAATCCAACGGAATAGAAGAAACCATTTCTCATCTTCGGCTCCAAGACCATTTACCCCCTCTTCCCTCAAGAGCCCTTTCCACTCCTATCTTTTTGGTCTTCTCCGTACGTACGTACGTACGTACATGGTAAGCGTGATTCGTCAAATAATGGGGGTATTAGAAACGTATGATACAAAAAGTGCAAAACGAAACTCGACATGCAAAAGTTAAACGTGAAATAGATGCTTCGTGAATCCCGCAACTCGGGATCTTATCCGGTAGATAAATAATAATTAGATATCTCCATTCCTCATACCTCGTTTAAGCTCATATCTGGGGTAGCTTGTTGAAATAATCGTCCTATATGATACCATATACTCCAACGCCGTCGTAAAGTAAAGTAAACTGAAACTGGGACGGTTCCAAAAGGTTGAAATTTTTTGTAATTGTTTATCCCCCCCCTTGCTGCCCTCCGAAGAAGAACCCGTCAAACAGATCGACCTGCTGGCCGTCGCTAAAGTCGTGATGCATCCCCTCCCAGCCAAGTCCAAAGCCCATGTCCATCTGCAGATCAGCATTGACTACACCATCCGCATTTGGCTGTTCCTGAATACCCTGTAAGAAGTCCATGCCTTGCAGGTCTGAATAATTTATCGCGCCGCTCGGGGTGAACGTGGCGGCTGGTGATCTAAAGTTGAAATTCGAATTCCCCGTGTTCTGATTGTACGGTTGTCCTGGATTAGATTGCGGCGTCAAGCTATTGACGGATACCGGAGAGCTAGTGTGCGCGCCGGGGGAAGGTAGAAGAACGGGATCGATGGCTGAATTATCAGGAAGTGAGGCCACATCAGACAAACTAGCCGTACTAAGGGTTGATTGTGGCATGGAGCGCATCATCGAGTATCCGTCTTGTTCTGTCTTGACGTTGGGCACAGAGAGGCGGAACCCGCTGGCTTGCGATGCCGTTTGTATAGAACCTATCTGTGACGTGTCATGCGAGCTGTAACTTTCCTGTCCAGGCGTATTATAGGATGAAGTGGTCCGGGACCCTGTGTGGTCTAATGAGGCGCGGTGGTGAGCTTTATGTCGGTTAGCCGTCGCGTCTCTGGCGTTGATGTAGTCGGCTCTTTCATTACCATTTCTTGAAGAGCGCTTGCTCCGATGTAGTACTTGTCCAAAACCGCCGGTAGAATTTGCCATTTTAATAGTTGCTCTCGCAGTTCGGTCGAAAGCATCCCGGCAAGCTTCCGCTGGCGGACATTTTTCGATAAGGTCCGTGAAAACCGAAGTGGCTGCTAATATCGTGAAATCAACTTCATCCATCGTCTATAGCTGGGTTAGCCAGAACGGTCAGAGATTTTATAAGCCGAACACTTACAAGCCGGCTTCGGACGACGTGCGAATGCCAAATTGCATAAAGATAAGAAATTCCCGCCATGAAAAGGTGATGCGTAGCCAGATATGTATAGTTGACGAGCCCCATAAGATGGAGTTGTCTGTATAAACGAAGGATCTTCTGGCCTGCTTCAGCAACCTTGACGTATACTCTCTCTTCGTCTTCTCGTGACTCGGCAGCATAAATGGAAGGGCTATTAACCTCTTTTGAGGTATTATATTCGCCTTCGAACATAGATGGTACACTCAGGCTCTGTCGATAAAGCATAATAATAGTTTGCCAATAGTTGAGTTCCAAGAATTCAGGATGAAATGCAACTCCCGAGTCCTTCTTTGTCGGTGCAGAATTCTTCCAATCGTATAATCGCTGGTCGATGTTCCTTCGCCAGTTCCTAAACGAATCGAATCTATGTAAGAAGGGTGATGGAAGTTGAGTGTGCATATATTCGTTTCTCGTGTTCTGGCCATTAAACCTGGCCATCTGCGTTTGCTGGTATTGCAAGACTTGCAAAATCTCGGACTGGAGTAGTCGAAGGCGGAAGTAATGCTTTGCAACAACTTTATACGTGGGCTCACCCTCGACGGGGCGCCCCTTGAATCCTTCGGAAGTAATGTAGCGGTCATCTAGCAAGGAGGGAAATTCGGTCGTGATCACTTGATCGGACACGCCAAACGGTCGTCCAACGCAAGTACTAACAAGTCTGTCGAGTGAATATGTAGACCACCACAATCGTCTTCTAAGGTCGCGTGTGTATTCGCGCCTTCCCCTCTCACGTAGATAAGCTTCTCGTGACTTTTCATTTCCTTCATCAGTTTTAGTATTCGAAGTAAGGTCAAACTCTACATCTTTTCCATCTTCATAATGAAGACCCAGGTCGACTGCCAATCTCACGGCAACGCCAACGATATACCTAGGGAGATTTGATGTCAGCTTCTAATCTTATAAACCGGAAATGTGTAGAATTATTAATGAGACATACCATAATCCAGGAGGGACCGGGCGAAGAAGGGCAAAATTAGCTAGCAATAGGACAGCTTGAAGCTCTTCTAGTCCTCCGCCACTGTTGCTTAGACAGGCTTCCAGATGAACGACTGCACTCGCGTGGTATTCCTCTGGTTGTGCCTGCTTCTTCTCTTCGCCAGTCGCCTTGGCGGATGTCGTCTGGGCATCCATAATTATGCCGCCTCCGATAGCATACACCATATTTAAGATATAGAGCTCTTTTGGTCCTCGTACCCTACCCTCTTCGGCATATGCACGTTCGAATAGTTGCATAAAATTTTCTCGATGCAAGACAGGTATCTGGGGATTCGCATGTTGGAAATATAATTCGACCATTTTGATAGCAAGGTCTCTGGGAGGGAATTCGGCTGGCCTGATAGTCGGCCGAGTGTGGAGGCCGAAAAAAGAGTCACGCATGGACGTACCCGATGCCGCGGCCCCGTTTCCTGCAATTGGTCGGTAGGGCCGCACACCGGTCTTGTCGGAATTTGACCTCTGATCTCCTACAGATGACTGTACAGCAGCAAATACCACACGCGCAAACGATATTCCGGTAGCAGATCCGAGGTGTCTCTGGCCGCCACTCCCACCAGGCCTCACAATCTTGACCGGTTTCTCCACATCACCATTACCTTTATGAGGTTTCGCACTACTCGAGGTTTCTGTGATTCCAGGTACAGCTGAAGGCGCGCCATCCGTGGGTGATCTTCCAAGACCGCCGTCCGTCCCAGGTCGCGAACAATATTCAAGATTGTTAGCGGGTGGGAATTGAATGTTGTTGCGACGAAGCAGGGCTTCCAATTGATCGACACGAGTCTCTAAATAGTACACATAGCTAAAGAGAACTATATTAGCCTTGCGGTCAGGTGGGTTGATGATAATTGATATACTCAATAGGGAACCAACCTGCGCGGAATCTCTCTTTTAGTTATAGGATCATAGCCGACGCAGGCGACCCTAGCTTTCTCACAGCTGGCGCAGCTGGGCAGCTTCTGGTCGCATCTGTTCTTGCGCAACCGGCAACGGTTACATGCGCTGACGTTGCGGAAGCTTGTGGATTGGCTAATCTTTGAGCTTTGACTAGCGCCGTCATGCAACGAATGTTCGGCGGTGGGGGAGGTAGGAGCTCCATTTCCTTCCGAAGGCGAGTCCTTATCCGGTGAAGAAGCACGTTGGCGTTTCGAAGGATGCGGATCGGGCGACGGCGGTGAGCGCGGTGGCATGGTTTCCAAGTCTAGGTCCATCCGCAACCAAGTGACGCTATCCGCAGATCCGCAGGAGACTCGAGTGCTCTATGTTGGATTGCGCCAGCCAGGGTTGTCGAGGTGGTTGTTTCTCAGCTGGAATTAGGCTGGGTCGGCTATTCGTAGGAATTCGATATTCCCCGCCCCATCTCCAAGCTCAATCTCGATGCGTGAAATAAGCAAATGAAACTAGAGCTTCTAGATAGAGAATGCAACGAGAGTAGAACAATAAAGCCGGGACTAGCCGTGGGGAATTATGAAATTCTACTATATCCAAGCTATAACAATGCGCGGGTGGTCGTTAAGGCGTAACGTCTAAGAATGGGTAAGGCTCGGGGGGAGGCTGAAGATGAGAAAGTCAAAAGTCGATACTTTTTCTTGGGCGGGATTTGGGGGTTGCGCGAAGGGACAGCGGAGCTTCCTCTCCTGCTGTATGCAAGCGTAGGGAAGTGTGGGAAAGCGTGGGCTGCGCTGCGTGGTAAGCCGTACCGCCGTACCGCCGATCTTACTACTCTTGTTAGGGCTTGTTCAATACTGCACAGCACACCCCACGACGTCACTGATAGGTTGTATGTAGCTGATTGCGCAAAAGCATAGGCAAGGGCAAGTACTTTGGAGCAACATGAATTGGAGCAATTGGAGCTTCGTTTTAGGGGTTTTGTTATCTTTAGCTATATCTTTAGTTACCTCTAATTGGTAACTACCTACCTAGTATCTGGTATTTTCCGAGAAATTGGAGGGTCTAAAATTTTCGCAGGGACGTCCCTAGCTCACATAGAGAGGAACTTACCTTTTACAGGTTAGAATTTACTAATAGAAGCAAGACCCGGTTTTTTTATTTACTTGGGTACCTCTTAGCTTAGGCTTGTTCCACATGCCCGCCCAGCTTCAACTTCCAGAAGCGAGCTAGGGCGCAATTCCGACCAATCACCTATTGGATGATTTTTAGTAGCTTAGGTAGGTACGACGATGCCACAATCAACTAGCTAGGTACATACCTCCTAACCTACCTAACCTACCTATGCATGTTGGTAAGTTGCAGACTACCAATCAATAGACCTATCAATAGCGACTAAAAGTTCGGGACCCTCGGATTGAGACGATGTAGACCTGCGCCCATGGATAGGTACTTTCCTCCCCATGCTTGAGGTAGGCACTAATGTCGGCAACTCTAGACCATATCCAAAACCAAAATCCTTCGCCTGGAACAGTCAACACAGCTCCCAGGGCCGGTACCTATTCTCTTAAGAGGATATAACTACCGTTTTCGTATTATGTTCCACAACATGACTTCTCGAGACCTCGAACTAGTGGAGGTAACACTATGGAATGACTATCAGCCCATCGATCAATATATCCGCTTGAGTCTACATTATAGACACCTATATTTGTCGTCAGCTTAGTCTGCTGTAACAAACTAGCAGCATCCGGAACTTACATGTAGCCTTAGAGTAAGGAGCAGTTGTTTCCTTGATTACAACATGAGGGAAGGCATAGTCGATACTATACGTAGTGTCTATGGTATATAGGTACATATACACACATGTATGGGGTAAGGTATAACTACATGTATAGAAGATGTGCTTGCTTTTATATAACTAACTGCTGGAAGTTGCTCTTTCTTCGACTATAGATACTATAGAAGCCCTACTTTTATATGTCAATAAAGAACTCGCCTAATACTACCTATCCGTCCAAACTTATTCAACTAACAGCTTATACCTGCATCATCTACATCATCATTTACATGAACAACAGTATCAAGTAAAGAAATATACGCATACTCCTAAAAAAAAAAACTCTACAATACCTAGTAGTCTCGAGACAGAAACACTCGCCAAGCATGATCGCCGTTAGCAGCACTTTACTTCCAGAGGCAAATATGCCACCGCCTAATTCCAGCCTTCTACAAGCGGATCGAAACCGCAACCAATCATATGGACACTCTACGCGCAAGAAACGACGGGCACGGCGGGCATTGTCTAGTAACCAAAGACGGTTCCTTGTCGAGTCCTAGGCGGACATCGTGGACAACGTCCCTGCCAAAGACGCCACGGCCGAAAATGTCCAGACATGGCTGGTCATGGTGCTCCATCGCCGGTCTCACCCAGACCCCCAGCGTATCCTAGATAAGCTAAAGTGGACGGGTCGGGACCTGCGTCGTGCTACATACCTGACTACGAGATATCGGCTGCGAGCCGAATCTGACGGGTGGCCTATTGCCTACGACATCTCTGATGCTGTGAAGGTGGGTAAACTTATAGTCTGAAACTATGTGATGGGAGTCATAGCTAACATTAATGCCCAGCAATCACGCCGACGAGCGAGGCTACGAAAGAAAGGGCTTGGATCTAGAAGGCTACCTTAGAGCAAAGTTGGTCTCGGTCCAAGTTTGGGTGCTTATTAACTAAGACTACGTTTCAATCTCAAATGGACACCTTTTGATGGCTTGGAGATTCTTGCCCTTAACGTTGGAATTCATAGGGCTGTCTGGGAAAATACGATTTAGTTAGTGTTAATCCTATAGCTCGACATGACCATAAACCTACATATTCCTCTACTTGAATAATAGTTATTTGGGTATTAAGATACATGTGTGCTACACTCTAATAAGATCCTTAGGAAATTTTCCGTCTGGAAGATTCAAGTGTATATACAGGCATCGACTGTTAGGACTACGCGTAGTAATATTCTGAGCGACATTATCAAGAGCACTATAAGTTGGATGATGACCTACTTATAAGGCCAATCGAGTATATAATGAGGTAGATGGTTTAAGCGGTTACTATAGTAAAGCTAAAATGTGAATATTCAGTATACTATTACGAACAAGCTCTCAGTAAGCTACGCTACCACGTCTTACTCTACCCATTTTCCCTCGGAGCTCCCTTATATAACCATTTCGTAAAGTAGGTACCCATATCAAGAATAGGCAACTAGGCCGGACAACTAAGGTCATATTGAAGGATGATGCATTAATAAGAATATTCTTCATTGATACGAACGACCGGCTTCGTCTATGAGACGTCTCCTTCCCAAGCCCTTTCTACCATATGCGCCCAGGTGAGCTTCTGTTGCTAAACTTCCCAAAATAACAAGACCCAACTATGGAATGCCCCAAATAATGATTCGCCCAAGAGAATAAATAGCAAAAAACCCTCGTACTTGAAAAACGCCTTGACCCCCCTAACTCGGAAGAATGATGCAGACAAGGTATAATAGAAATGACTCGACAGTACCGAAATTCCCTAAGCCCCCTTTCCCATGCCCAGATTGAGGCTCTTTTCCCAGTACACAATATTCGTTTCACAAATGGTGACCCCTTTCCCCTGTGTGATCCCCGAAATCCTGATTTTTGGTCATTGTACAGAGGTATCGTAGTGGTTCCCAATGCCAGGAACATGATCTAGTTGCCCAATCCAGTCTATGTAGTAATAAGCGTAATAACTTTTTCCCCAACCAGAGACGTAAACGACGACGATGAGGCGATTCGATTAGAACCGCGATGATCCGGCGCCGAGGAAAGGAACAAGTCATTAAACGTCGTAACCCGAATGTTCCAAAGCTCCCTGTTATGCCTGGAATCCCGCCAAGAATGAAAACATGGCCCTGAAACTAGCCGCAAATAAACTCCGGCCCACTCTATGATGCCGGTTCGGGCGAAGCCGCTCGATCGGTAACATTAGTTATTTCTAGATTATTATTAGTTGGAGCAGCATTGCCGTCTATATGGCTTTGCGGTTCCTGAATCTGAAGTCCAACGATCGCACCACCAATAGCCACGAAGGCACTACACCACCATGCTAGGCCCGAATAACCAGACTTCAGGCCGACGGCATAGAGAATACCGGAAATGGTTGGACCGAATGCACGGCACAAGCTCGCAGTCGAGGCTGCTACGCCATTGATGGTACCGAGGGCAAGGGGGCTTGGTGACGAATCTGCGGTCAAAATAGCGTTGCTCGGGTATGCCATGCTAGCAAATGTGCACTTCCAGACCAATACCATTCCAACGCCAATCATACGGTACTTCTCGGGTAAAAGGACTAGATATGGCGTGATCAAGTAAAGCGAGAAATAAGCGATAACCAAGAACCGGAATAGCCGACGTGCGCCAAAATGCTTTAGGACCGGCGGAACTATGAACATGTTGATGAGCAGTTGATACGCGCCTTGAGCACTTAGAATGATACCGACTGTCTTGCTATCAAGACCGAAACCGTCGACAAATTTGAAAGGGAGCGAAGGTGGCGTCGGATGGTCCGGTGGCGCGGTGCTTAGAAATACTGGGAAGAGTTGATCAAAAGTCATCGTGTGGCTTCGAGACGCGTTAGTTGCAATGAATTTCCCTAACATGGTAGAAATAGTAAACATACAAAGCTAGAATGCCGAATGAGATGATGTTTAGGACCACTGGACGAGTGAATATCCTAGAGACGCCAAGGTTTGAGTTTCCGTGTCCGCTTTCGAGGTCAAGCGAATCCCATGATATCGAAGGAACGGAGGCTGATCTGATGCGTGGTGAGTTTTCGGGGGAGTTCTCGTTGGTCTGATACCCGGGTAGCTGTTCATCGTGGTCGATAAGGGGTTGCGTTTCCATCTCGGCCAGTTTAGACTTCTCATCCCGCGACTCGGCACATTTTCGAAAAATCGGCAATTTCGATAGGATCCAATTTCCAAGTTCTAGGCCTCGATCCCGCCTCAGCTTCTTCTCAGGGTGAGTCTCCTCAAGGAACAGGATTCCATTAACAACGCCAACCACTACGATGAAAGCGCTGAAAAGGTTAGGAAGAAGATACGGATATTTGTCCCAGATACTACCGGCCGGAAATAAACCTGGGTAGCTGATACACGGCCGGGCGAGCGCGCCACCGATCATAGGACCGACAATCGACCTGGTAAAGAGTTAGATAAAACTAGGAACATAACGACTCTTTAGGCGTCGTAACTAACCCTAAACACCATACGACAGGCATTATAGTGTAAGCCCGGGCTATCACGATAATTAGCTATCTTGTCCAGAATGCCCCGCTGTGACGACTAAGCTTACGCTGATGCTCTTTGGCAGTTACTAGTTCAGCTACTGTCGTCTGAAGCACACCCATATTCCTAGTTCTAAGTTAGTATAAGTTCGAACTGGACAGATATGGCATCTTACCCGTTCAAAAGCCCTCCGATGGCTCTGGCAATAAGCGCAACCGTCAAGTTAGGAGCGAAGCCGAAGATCAAAACGCTCAGAGCTGTACCGATGAGACCCGTAAGCAACACAGGCTTTCTTCCAACCTTGTCACTCAGCCGCCCCCACAGGAGCCCCGTGGAGAATTCGGCAAAGGTGAAGGCTGATGTAACCATGCCGGCGTAAAATGAGATTCTGCTCTTATCCTCGGTGATGTGGAAATCCTCGATCATAAAGTAGATATACGGGAAGATGCCCATAAACGCGATTGGCTCGCATATTCGACAGATTGCTAGTTGACATATCAGCCCAAGGCCCACGATACATATTTCTAACCAAATCATACCTAGGACTAGCATCTGTCGCTTTGGAAACGGTGGTATGGCGCCATTACGAACATTAGAAGGACGAGTATCCTTCATAAACGAATTATTCCTCATGATACTCGTGGTTCCGCCGGTGCGGTGCGCTACATGAAAGACGGGATAGATGAGAGAGCCGCAACGGTGTTGGGCGTCTGGACAGGTTTAATATAGCTATGCCGAGCTCTAAGCTGGGCAGTGGCTCGGAAGTCTCTCGAACCTTAAGATGGAAGGATATAAACTAGGCCACTCGGGACCCGAGGGGTGTAAAATATTTGGCAGATTTTATAGATCAATCAAGGAAGTCTAAAGTTAGAAGTTAGAGAGACAAGCGGGAGTGACTTGTCAACCCGGCACCGTTGAGTTGTTATGTTCGACAAAGGCTGCGTGTGTGTACTAAAGCCACGCAACAACAACGACGACGGGAAGGGTGAATAATAATCAGCTTGGCACCGTGAGGAGGAGAAGGAAAAGAAAGCTGATAGAAGTAGGCTAGAAACAAGCCAACCGACGTAGGTATCCATGGCGGGTGACGGATATTAAGTTATATAATATTGGAACCAGCGGTGACAGATGTTAGGCGAAAAGCAAAGGGCGAGTGCAAGTGCAAGTGCAATAGATGATCCTTCCAGCAGTGCCAGGTGTAACGCGGCGATGGTCTCACAAGGTATGGAGTCCCAACTTCGTGGAAACAACTCTGTCATGGAAGCCATAAGTGGACTACTAGTGGATCCCTCATCCCATGCTCGAGGCGGTACGGGGTATAGCGATGACATGTACCTGCAAATGAGAAAAGTCGGGACTTGGCCCTCTGCTTCTGGAGCCTTACGGGTTGCATAAGGAGCAGCAAATGCAGCCTGACTCGAATGACCACGCGGGTCACGGAAAATGCTTTGACTGGGATGATGGAAGCACCTTAGCACATTGAGGGTTGACGAGAAGTACCCGGTACACCATAGATCCCTACTAGGTAAGGTCCTGCTACCCTCCGGCATTGGATGCTCTGACAGGACAAGGGGTTGAGGTAGTAACCCAGACCTGCCGGTGTCCGCCAGCTTTAGAAGCAGAAGAATATGTAAAAGGGTAGTGAACCTTTCCCTCTTGGGTTTAAACCCTTCAATAATAAGCCGGCCGGTGGTGAGCGTCTAGCTCATTGGCAATTTCACCACACACCAAAGCTGAATGGTGGAGCCGCCGGGGATCTGAGCGGACGGACCTGACACGACACTTAGGGAAGACGGCAGCAGTTAAAACAGTTGAGCGGTGAAGAATTATCCACAGCCTTCCGATTGCTCTTGAGAGAGAGAGAGAGGCTTAAGAAGAAGAAGAAGAAAGTGAACCGGGCGAGGGGATACCGATTATGCGTGGCTGAGAGTGGGATTGGGCAACGGAAATAGCACAACTGGGGTACTTTGAGATGAACCAAATGGCCGGTACGGGGGACTTGAGGAGAATCGTCAACCATGACGCAGGCTCTGCAGAGGGCTTCAGCCCAGCTCCGCCAAGCCTCGTTTCTTTTCTTTTTTTTCTTCCTTTTTTTAATACCTACCTACATACCACCTGGTAGGTACCTATGTAGGTATGTAACCCGTACCATACGTACATAGGTATGTAGGTATGATGTAGTACCTCATAGTATTACCTATCGTACCTAATGTATGTACATACTGGAACTAATGTAGTTACCATGTATCCCCATACCCGAGAATAACCCGTTACAAGGCCACGATATTAGATATGTTATTGTTACTTTAGGCATTATTATTGTTATTATAATTATTATCATAATTATTATCATCATTATTATCATCATCATTATTTCCCCTTCTTCTTATTCCTGCTCTTTTCTACTTGTGGATGTGTGACGTGCGGACGCGACAAGAGCTGCACCCACGAACTCGGAATATGACCCCCGTCTTCATCTTATGCGCATGTTGTGCTACACCCGGTAGTCTACGGAATTGCCGCGCCCGGTATGTTTCGTCGGTGCTGCTGCCCGTTTCGAAACTTCCCTTCATTGAACAGTGAACAACATCACGTTGATTTTGCATACCCGTCATCATCTTGTCCTTGTATCATACAACTTGTATGTACCGTACCTGGCCTGGCCTGGCCTGGTCCCGTCATCTCGACGGCGGGGAATCTGCTGAGTACGTTGAGTCAAACGATTTCGTTTGCAATCTCTCTCCACAGCTCACAGCTCACAGCTCACAGCTCACAGCTCACAGCTCATGGAGACAAACCCGTCTCATCCGCGCCGAAACCCTTCATAATGCCGCCACTCTTTTTATCTCGGGTGATAAATGAGGCGGATAGTCAAGACTGGTTTAGGGTAACGATGTCGTTATCTGACGATTACAGTCTTAAGCAATGCAACATAAATTCCCCACAGTATACGACGCCTTATCCTTGTGCAATACCTTGCAAGTGCGTGCCGTTAATCGTCTTTTCCCATAGTTATTCAATATCGACGATCAGTTACCGCAACATTCCCCTAACTTGGTACCGGAACCTGGGTGATCAAATTGACGTACAGAAATCTGCTTCTTCACCTTCGGTGATGGCTTGGGTTTTAGCCCTTTCCCCCTCTTCCGCGTGGTTGCACTCTCATTCTAGTCATGAGTAGACGTTTCATAACTGAAGAAAGTCGCCGAACAATTCAAGTGTACTTTCATTAAAGCTCCATGCAACACAGCGGTGGAGATAGCTGTCTTGTCAGCTGAGCGCATCGTACACGTAGCTTGACGATCAGAAAACCGTTTGCGAATAGTACAACTTCGTACAATCTCACGGTCAAGACTCCACAACTATTTTTCTCCCCGAGCTGGCCAAGTTTTCCACTGCTTTATCTCCTTGGCGCTAGAGCAGGCTAGGCTATGGAACAAATCCGTAACGTTCTAGAAAAGTGCTGGCAGGATAGTCCCTGTCGGACCATGTGGCAAATGAAATTTCGTAATAAGTGCTGAGTAGCCCAGGAGCTTGTTCCGAATGGAAAGGAAGTCTGTGGTTTGGTTTTTTTCCCTCACTTTTTCTTCCCCCCTTTAGCTTAACCTAGACATCTTATCTAGAGCTCCGCGGCGTGTCGGGTAAGATCCGGTGAGCCGCTACAAAACATGCGCGGCTGCGGAGAAGCCGAGAAGGTCATCGACTCGCCAATTCGGATTTTTAGCGTGAGCTACTCACTGCGAATAGGATCGCTTGTTAGAAAAAAGTAAGGATGCCGCCTTTTCCCCTTATACCGAGATATGCACGGGGTATGCGTATTTCCAGGCTCTGCACAGGGATGTTCATCGCTCACAAATAACAGAGATTCTTTTTTTCGCCCTGTGTTCTGTTCAGGGCGCACGGCTGTCATGATCGTCCAATTTCAAGGATACCGTATGGGGGGTTTCAGGTACAAGGGTAAACCCTGATCTACAAGCCTGACCCAACCATTTGGCGCCTTGATGTTGACTACCGGAAGCTTGCCGTTTAGGAAAACTTTCTCGCTCGCCTTAAACGCCAAGCCATAAGTACTATGCTAGTCACTCCCTTGTTTTTTTTTTTCTTCTTCCTCTTTCTCTTCTACTTAGGTACTTCGTAGATCTGATTTTCGTTCCAGGAATTGCTGTCTTCTGGAAAAAGGAGAAAATGGGACGCGCATGCAGACGTGATCATATGATCTATCCTCCGAAACGAGATCGATATTGATGGATTGTTAGGATCATCGACTTTAGCGTGACTCTAATCGAGTTAGAGAAGGGGGGTTTTTGGAAAATTACTAACTCCGAATATATCGAGAAAAGCAGTGCTATGCACGAATCAGCAAACATCCGCTATCAGCCTAGTAGCGGAAAGCTAGATTCAGATATTCTGCATATATAGTACATGTGGAACATGCAATGTCGTGCAGCAGAAGGTCCACGTTTGATGAGGCACGTCAACATCGTGCGCGACCTGCTGTACCGGTCACCTGGGTTGCCTACAAGATGATGGAAATTTTCCCTTTCCCATGAAAACCGAGTTGTGGCAGGGCTGCTGCGTTGTCTCCAGTAACCGGAGGTTTATCGGGTTCTTAAGGACCCGATTACGTCAATAGCTCACCGCCCCTTTTGGCCGGCGTTGGACTTGAAGATGGGATTCTGCGGCGATGCCCGACGAGAAATTTGCACGTATCAGCTAGCTGGATCAAAAAAGACCTAGGGCATCGTGAAATTTGCTGATCCTCTTATGCCTATACCCTTTTTAATGATAATTTCCTCTGACCGGGTTTCTTTGTTAGCACTAATACATAGGTAAAGCTTAGTCGGACAATAGGGATCAAGGTCTAAGACTAGGACGACAATACCTACTACATAGGTAAATGAAATCCCTAACGACGAGGTACATACATACGTATAGATAGGTATGTAACTAAGGTTAGGGTATTCTTATGATGTACATCAACTGTACATTTGCAGCCAGTTTTGCAGCTTGGTCAGGGCAAGCCTCGCTAACTTAAACTTACACACGCGGAAGCTGGCCTCAGACCAAAAGCTCAAATTTCCTTCGGAGCTGGCAAGAGTCCCGAATGGACAGCATTCTTCACTACCCACTCTTCCCCCTTCTTTAGCGCCTTGCAACAGCCTCGCGGGACTAAGGGAAAGGGGGGTGTCTGGTGCTGCACTGCTGTCAAGGTAGCTGTGGAGCTAGTTGCCGGACCGTCCTATGCCATGATAATATTCCGCGAATATAAATGATTAGACGATTAAGTATAGGCTACTAGTGCAAGGATTATCTCGGGACTATAGTTGGAAAAACAAAGACTTAATCGAATAGGGAATGGCGGTCGGCGGTGAGACATTTCGGCACGGTTGACGACAGCCGGGACTTGACCCGGCTCCACAGCCCGCCTAGATGTATAGTGCTTGTCGTATTATCGCAAGACGCAGAAACGGCCAAGAGGGACAGACTAGAAAAAAGAAAGGAAACCACCGGCGAATAGCATCGACGCCTCTTGGTACCGGCATAAAAATGCGTGAGAAAAGTGTGTGAGATAACCACGAACTTTAGATCGCTGGACCGATGAATGCACCGGGGAGAAGCATGAATGCTAGCCGGTCGACATGAAATCGGATGATGAGCCTCCAATCTGGCGCGATACGGCTTTCCACCGGTGGGGGAACCGATTGGAGCCCACTCAAGGGGATAAGGCGGAGGATAACGAGGTGGTTCATTGGAGGTTGCTCCTATGATGTGATGACAACTTCAAGTTGCAGAGCCTTGTCTTGTTTCCCTTAGTCTGGCACCCTGACACACCCGTTGATACCTAGCGCTATTACAGGTAATATAAGCGATTAATGCCATTTTTAAAGAAACCCTATCTCATAACGAGTTGCCGAAGCTACGATAGATTCCATTTTATCAGATGCAAAAGAGCAACTTAGATATTGAAAATTTGAAGACGGGCATGTTTGACAAATCAGGTAGTTATGGCTTAAGTTTTGGACATTGACGACATGAACACTGCATGATACTTTAGGAAATGTACATTTGATATAGGGTAGGTAGGTAGGTATACCTATATGTAAGTAATTAATCGTAGCCCCGTCAAGGTACCTAGGTAGGTTAGGTATGTAAATACATAAAATCAAATCAAAATATTTTCTTTGAAACTTGACGGCCGATTGATACGCCGTGCAGTTGCAGATCAACCAACTGCCACGTGGGGAAGTACCGATACTATCTATATATACTGCGTACACCTAAATGAGGTAAGTGCATATAATAATGCACTTTAAGTTTTCGATATATTGGATGAATTACCTAACCTAATGTAACATAGGTACCTAAGGTACCTAAGGAGGTAATCAGGTGTGACTTCCTCCACCTTTCTATACCTACCGACTTCGGTATCTGCCTCGCCGACAGGGTCATCTATCATCAAAGCTTCAACCCCAAGACATTAATATGTGGTAGTCTTTATCTCTATAACCATTTATATCCATCTACCTAATATTATCGTATTCTTATATATTAATAGCATCATTACTGGTATCTCGTATACTTCTACCTATTACCTTGTTGTTCCTGTCTTCTTTCTTAACTTCACGAGGCACCTATCATACGAACAATGATGATAAGCCCGGCCAGCCATTGGCCGTCTAGATCGATATAGGAATTGACTTGAGGCGTCTTCCTGCATAAATACCCTCACTGTATGTATTAATCGAAATAAGGAGGTCACCTGCATACAGCCGAGCCGACGTGCCAAGTTGGTTACTAGTTCACGCAACTATTAACTGTATTTCCAACCTTGAGGCCTCACAAAACAGATCCAGATCCATGATGTTTCATTAGTGCGGACCGCACGCCAGCGGCTGCCATGGGATGACTCACCACCAATCGTCGTTAAAGAAGCTCCGGAGGAACTCCGTTTACCAAGGATAGGAGATGGCGGATACTCTATCTTTGGGCCGCCACTGCGCCTTGATGCAGCTCACGTCAAAGTGTCGGCCACAGACTTGCAACGAGCTGCATTCGCCCAACCTGTTTAGGCTCTGGCTGCATGTGTTCCTCTCCGCAACGTTAACTAAGCATACCAGATCCTCGTTAAATCCACCATGCCTGGTCTGCCGGCCGCTTATTATGGAATACCTACCTATACTTGGCCATATATGCGCCATGCTGCCCTACGCATGCTAACCCGCATATGACGCTTCCCTCGACTGTCCTTCTCAATATCCGGCTTATGCTGTGAACTCCGGGCACTCCCGCTCTTAGCTCCCGCCGTCTCTTAGTTAAGAGATTCCTTTTGCGGACCAGCTTGCCCCATTGCAATACGCTAACTGGTGCGAATACAACAGTACAATATTTAATTCGAAAAATTATCGTGTTTGAACATGATTTTGTAAACGTCCACTTTCACTACAACTCTCACATTGCGTCACCAGGGTCCTGCAGTTAACCCCGGCCTAATCATCTCCAAATCTGGCCATGCCGTTGTAGGGCCAAGAATGATCGTTATCGTAAGACCGGGTTTATGGGAGCTACTGTTCACGAGTGATCCTACATGTACATCGGAGTTATCGGAGAGCAGTCCAATATCGACGATATCTGTTTGGTTTTCTTACTCATGATACTACTTTTTTCTTCTTCTACGTATCCCTTGCCTTGTCCTGATAAGGCACGGTGATCCGAATTATTACTATCAGGTAGTCAGCTTACCGCATGTCCCAACGTCCCAACGTCGACAACGGTTCCCGGCTTTGGTAGGATGGTCACATGCCGCTCCTACCATGGTACTCGACAGGCATCGGATCGCAACCTCCCACAGCATCGATTGGCACTGTCCAGTAGCCGCAACTTCAGCTTCAGCACACTAGCTTTGATATATATCGCCAACGACATACTACTCACTTTCTAGACCGTCTAAGGCAACTTAGGGACTACATCTATATCAACCATTCTTTCCTTTCAACTGCAGGTCGATACCTATCCAGCTAGTTGTGCTACACGGATAAATGATGACGGGCAATATTCATATCTTCGCATCACCGCATCCCTGCAAGGGTTATCTATCTACATGCAGATCGTCTACTTATCTCGAATCCATCGCGTCCATTAGGACGAACACTTACGTCGACGAACATCTGCCTTTATGCTATGACCCGAGGGCAAACTACTGGACAACAACTTCCCGGGCCGGGGTTTGAATCCGATCTACGCACCTCCCGCCATGCAGATGCAGTGTACGATATGCGAGGTCCATCCTAGCGACCAACCTCTGTTCAAACCAAAACGTACATGATGTTACACAAGAATAATGAATAATAGGTAACCGTAGTTTACGAGCGTCGCATATAGTATATATGTGTAGCGAGCTATATTTGTTTACCGGCATATGCAATATCGCAATGTTCCTTATTGAGTCTACTTTGGTCGAACTAAGTGATCAGGCTTATCATAGAAGTGCATC